AGCAAATAATAAACTCTGATATTTTATTTGTAAAAGGACCCGGCAGAATCATCCCAAATCAGTTTTTCATGCTAGATTATTAAATAGAATTATAGAGATTGCAAATGCTATTAAAAATTTGAGAGATTTGTTTGACTGAACAAACCCTTCAGGTAACATTTTTTAATACACTAAAAGATTTGGTATTTATAATCTTACATCTATTAGTACTTTATATCATACGGATTTGGCTTTGAATCAACTATTTTAAAATTTTAATATTTTAACATAGCAGCTAGCGAAAAGATACTGGAGCCTCCGAAAATTCAAGTTGAACCCCTAAGATCAAAAAACGTTAGCAGTAGCGATATTAAAAAGGGGAAATGTTCTAACTGCAACATATATAGAAGATATGCAGATATGAACAAAAAAATTTGTAGGCTTTGTTCTTTTGCAGAATTATTTCCAAAAAAGTGACAATAAGGATATTAATAACTTTCTTGTAAGATCATCATATAATCAAGCAAAAAGAATTTTAGAGTGGATACCATATAAGGATTTTTTGGATATTGAATATATCAGAATTGGTGGATTTAATAAGATTTACAAAGCGGCGTGGCACAGAGGATACATTAAACATCGGAATTTATTAACGGAAGTAGTTCGTTCCGAATCTGTGAAAGTGCATTGAAAATGCTCTACAATTCAACGATATAAGTTCGACCTTTCTAAATGAAGTATGCATCTTATTTTTGATAATATTTATTTTCTATTCCATTTTTATACAAGTTATTCATGTGATTTTATAGTTACAATTTTTACGCTTATTTAAATCAAGCGAATTAAAATATTATTATATCGTTAAACGCTATGCAGTTTCGCAGGATCCCGAAACCCAAAATTACATTTTTGTCATGCAATATGAAAATTACGGGAACTTGAGAAAACTCTTGGTAACGGAATTTCATTACAGAATAAATTGAAGCCTTAAAAAAAAAGGTTATCCTCGCACTCAGGATCTATCAAAATTTAATAAATCGGGATCTGCATAGTGGTGACACCCGTATGTAATAGAACAATGGGTGTCACGTACATTACATTTTGACATATTATATCAGGAAAAGGGTTTAAAAAAAAAGTTTATTGACTTTCTTGGTTTGACATTCAGCCGAAATTAATATTGTCA